TAATGTCTAGCAATGAAGTGGATGGATCTCGGGGCTCACCCAAGGCAGCAATTCCAGTGTCACCATTTGTAAAAATTTAGTGATTCAGACACAGCCCAGCTGCTAGAGACACGTCCTGTCTGTGAGCACATGGATTTCCATTAAACATGAAAAATTAATTCTAGCCTGGTGAGGTGGTTCCATTCCTTTGGCTGCAGCCAAACCCAGTTGCTCTCTCACTCTTGGAATTTACTAATTAAAATAAAACAACAATAATAACAACAGGAATAACAGAATATATGCAAATGAGCGATGCCCAGTGCAGTTGCTCACCACCCATCAACCCATGCCCAGCCTGTCCCAGCCAGTGATCCCAGAGCACAGACAGTCCCAAACCCAAACCCCAGAAGAGCGAGAGCCCGAGTGATCCCTGAGAGAATCTCCCCGATTTCCAGTCAGCCCTGGTTAATGTACTGACATGATGGGATATGAGATGGAATATCTCATTGGCAGAGCCAAATGCCAATTTGGGGTTTTGCTAATTACTGCGCTTCCCCCCACCCAGTTCTAACACAGCTGTGAACCAGCCAAACACAATGGCCTTGGGCTCCAGCAGCAACTAATGACATTGGTACCTGATCAACATTCTTCTCATAACAAACCCCACACTGAACCCAACACACAGCTGTTCTGGCTACTGAGAAGAACATTAACTTTATCCCAGCAAAACCAGGACACCTGGTCATGAAAGAGACTCACAGATATGACCTCAGAGTGCTCCTCAAAACTTCGGACAGAATGAAGATAACACAACCCTCATAGAAAAGGATTTTTTTTTTTTTTCCATCTAGGACCAGTGCCATGATTTTAGGTCTTTCATGCCTCTTGACTGCTCAGAATCAGCCAAGATGCTGCTGGCCACTGATGATGGGCCAAAGAAGAGATGTGTGGCAATGCTATACTGAAAATTTATGAAGCCCTGTTAGCTCAGCATTTGAGTGATGCAGTGTAGTTAGATCACTAATTATAATGTTTACACATGCCTGTTGGGAAGAACCTATTAAAACAAAGATTGTGTCTTTCGTCTGCATTGGAGAGACAACTGGGGCTGAGAACCCTTGCTCATGGGCCATTCTGAAGAAACATCTAGCTTGTAAAACATCTCTGCAGGCTGTGGTGACATGGAGAGCAAGGAACATAGATGTTTGCCTCACTACTTGCTTGATATTTTGCCTATGGGGCAGCAAAAGCTGGAACTTGGGAAACTAGAGAGTAAAGCCTGGTCTATATAGTTTGTACTAGACCTAATTTCTTCATTTTGGATGGAATTCTCTGCTCCACTGGAGCTACATCTGCAGTGTTGACGCTGCAGAGACAGTGTGAAAGTGCAGTGTATTCCCACAAGCTATAAATACATTTAAAGAGCTGCCAAGGTGAATCATGTTTGCAGTGTGTGGAACTCACGGTTACACAGCACAGTCACGAGAAGCAGCAGCATGTTCCCTCCAGCTCTGCAGCTACGTGTGCTCACCAAACCAGGGGAAAATGATGCTGTAGTAGTTTAACTTGACTGGCAGCCAAACACCAGACAGCCGCTCGCACCCTCCACCCAGGGAATAGAGAATTGGAGAGGGTAAAGGTGAGGAGACTCGTAGGTTGAGATAAGAACAATTTAATAATTGCAGTGAAATAAAATATTAATGATAATAATAATGATGATAAGAATAAAAAAATATAAATGACTGATGCACAGTACAATTGCTCACCACCCACCGATAGTGATCCCAGAGGGGTGAAAAGGAACCCCAAACCCAAAACCACAATCCTAAAAGAGCGAACTCGAGTGATTCCTGAGAGAACCCCCAGCTTTCTGGTCAACCCTCATTAATAAAGTGAACATGATGTCATATGATATGGAACATCTCACTGGCATATGCAAATGCAATTTTGGGTTTTTCTAATTACTACACTTACCCCCCCTGCCCAGTCCTTTGCACTTGCAAACTGGCAAAACACAAAGTCCTTGGACTTCCAGCAGCAACTAAAAACATCAGTATGTTATCAACATTCTTCTCATAACAAATCCCACGCTGAAAACAAAACACAACACTATTGTAGCTTCTAAGAAGAAAATTAAGCCTATCCTAGTAAAACCAGGACACACATCCATGAAGGAACACTCCATTTCTGTAGCACACTCCCATGGTAAATGCAGTAAGAAACCACAGCACACAGAACAAGTGATCTCAGTCCCAGGGCTATTTTAGCAACAACATCTGCTTCTGCAGGAGGACATCTACCAGCAGAGCTCTGGTTACTGGCTACCTCCTTACCTTTGTGGCAGAAACAC